ATATATATGATCGGTGATGATGAAGAGCAAGTTGGCGAGCTCATTCTTCGTGAAGTTGATGATCTAAAAGAAACGAACTCTCCATCAGCATGATAAATAACCCCAAAAAATCATTGCTTTCATGTTTAGAAAATTAAAGGTAAATTCATATAAGCCCTTAAACTTTGCGTGATTTAGGGTAAAGATAATAAGGCTTTTTCTGGGAGAAATTTAATTAAAATCTTAATCAGAGCAATCGCTCTAAAATAATTATAGTATGTTAATTTGAAAAGGATATTTTATCTTCGTGCCTTTTCATCAACCGCCGTTTGGGAATTTGTTTTATAAAGTTGAAAACATTTGGTGGGTCCAATGAAACACGCCAAACTTAAGGGGGTTAAGTGATATGTTTAAAGTTTAGGGGGTTATCTTCAAATTTGACAAAGCTAAGGGATTTTATGAAATTTAATAATCTAGAGTCTAAACTTGTGTGCATGACTTGATGGTCACCTCCTTATTTATTGTCCCCACTAAGATCACCGCTTTAAGCTCCTCCCATTGACCTGGTCCCTTTTTCCTGCCTCGTCAGTTCAATGAACGTGGACGCATTTCCAAACCCCGACCCCAAATTTCAAAGCACATTATACCATTCCATTTCGCTCCAGCAACCATCCAGTTTGCCGAAGCCTTCACATCGTGGGACCCACATTAGAAAAGTAAACGAAGTTCCTCCTCCAGAAAGATTTCGTCACCTTTTTTTTACTTTTCTTTTTCCTATTTCCCATTTTCTTTTTACTCCCCTTTCTCGTTCTATTTGAATTTTCAATTTCCTTTTGAATGTAACGTGAGGTTGAGTTCTCTTGAGGAAGGATCTCTCAACTTTCTCCTGTCTCTTTATTGTAGGATCAATTGATTAGGTGCCCACAATCCTTGGCTTCACTTTGGAGCTTTTTTCTTGTGGCCTTCCAAAAGGTAAAAAATGAGAATTTTTCAATTATTTACCTTTTTCATCACTAAATTTTTGTCCTACACTATCATAGGTGAAATGGGCTTTGTTTCGCTGATTGGTTTCATGATCATGATTTGTTTTTTTTTTTCATTGGTTTATTGTCTTAGACTTCTTCATGCAAGTTAATTATAATAACTAGTTATAATAAAAGCACAAGTTTAAATATATAATTTGAAAGTGCAGCCGGTGTTTGTTGCTTGCTGATGTCTTGGAATGCAAGGATATTGTTAGGCAATATTAATGGAGTTTTTAAGTGCCCTTTATGTGTTTGGAACTCAAAAAAGTCTTCGCTTGGAAGCAATTATCTAAAGCCGACAGTGGGAATAAAACCTCAAGTTATAAAGGGGAAACATCCATCCCCATAAAACACTCAGAGTTTTGAAATAGTAATGGTTCTCTTTTATATTGGGGCTTTTGAGAAAATGGTTTCTTTTATTAACACTATTGAATTATGAAGCTATCAAGTTGAATATTCTATTTGAGATCATGTTTTGAACTTGTTATGCACTGGTGTTTCTGAGAAGTGAAAAAGAACTCTCCTGGTGATATTGATGCTTTGCAATTTGAGAAATAAATTAACCTTTGGGTGCTAAGTTCTTCTTTTGATCCCTGCAACTCACCTAGCTTCCACAGTGGAAGAGATCAGTTAGATTGTTAGAGAATTTACGGTCGTGTAGCCCGAAACTTACCATGCTTTACCATTGTCATTGAGGATGACTGTAGAGATGAATACTGATTTATATAAGTATGGAGTATTGCATACTCATAATCTCTTAATTACACGCCTCATGCCACGTATGACTAATTAGAACAGGTTTCACAATATGGTCAAATGTGGTCATGAACTAAAAATCATATTTTTTTGACGCAATCGATCAAGGTGTACTCTGATCTGCCTACTACCAAAACCTCCTTTGTTCTCTGTCATTGAGAATTGTCATCCTTTAGACAAATTGCGCAAAAGAAAATTTTAAGAACCATAAACTCTGTACCTTTCGACACTACGACCAGAAGCTGCAAGCATAATAGCTCACAGATCAATTTATGTCCTGGTAGCCTTATCTTATGAATGTCAACTTGTCTGCTCTTCTGACTCTGAAATTTTGATTATATAAATGAATAATTGAGGCAAATGGATAAGCGAATAGCTTAAACAATCTAATGAGTAGTTTAAACAATCTAATCATCTAAGTCAACACCTTACATGGTTATTTAACAGATCATGATCGAAGAATTATGGTGCAAGTTGAAAATCTTGTCCTGTTTTAATTCATATGTTGATACATCAATACATCATTGCATTCTAGACCTCTCCATTCACCTTGAATGTGCTTTGTTTTACATCTACGTTCACAATTAATGATATGGTTTTATTATAATGAGAAGTTTGACCTGCAATTGTACTTGAGTCCTATATAAGGATCTTTGTTTGCATCTCCCAAAGTAGGGAAGGCTTTTCTATCTCAAAATAGTGCAAGTATTTCCGTATGTTTCTGTCCTCCCTTTTGGAACAACAATTAACATTGTGTAGTATAAGTACTTGTTTAGCGTAATATACTTGTGACTGCTAATTCAAAGTGTAGTTTTTAATCTGCATTCTAACTATTCACTCATTGCACAGGTGAAAACTCAATATGGGCACTTCAGTTTCTGATGAACCAGATGCAAATGAATCAGACATTCATAGCTTGCCTTCTTCTCGCCGACACACAGAGAACTTGCCATCACTTTACAAGGTGGGTTTCCCCCCTCGGAAGAAATTAATGAGTGAGTTCACTGAAACTTTGAAGGAGACTTTCTTTGCTGATGACCCTTTAAGGGAATACAAGGACCAGCCTAAATCAAAGAAACTCCTACTTGGTATCCAATCTTTCTTTCCAATCTTCAACTGGGGGAGAGATTATAATCTTACTAAGTTCAAGGGTGACGTCATTGCTGGATTAACCATTGCAAGCCTTTGTATCCCTCAGGTATATAACATAACAATAATGAATGAAATTTATCCAACTTAATTCTTTTTTATGAATTTTCCGCCATCTGAAATAGGATATAGGATATGCAAAACTCGCGAACTTGGATCCACAATATGGACTCTGTGAGTGCTCATTACTTATCGTTTTGAAGTGAAATCTCGTTAATGACTTTCTCATCTATGTACTAACTTTGGTCTTTGGATTGTTAGATTCTAGCTTTGTACCACCACTAATTTATGCAGTGATGGGGAGCTCGAGAGATATTGCAATTGGGCCTGTAGCAGTTGTATCTCTCTTGCTAGGAACCCTTCTTCAAAATGAAATAGATCCAGTAACTAATAAGGAAGAGTATCAACGACTTGCATTCACTGCGACCTTTTTTGCTGGTGTAACTCAAGCAGCACTGGGATTTCTAAGGTTCGGTGAAGTTATTGATAATAGGAACTTCTAATATCTTTGGTCCATTTTGTCATATAATTTTTGGTTTGGTTGTTCAGGTTAGGGTTTTTAATTGATTTTCTATCACACGCCGCAATTGTTGGATTCATGGCTGGGGCAGCCATTACTATTGCACTCCAACAACTAAAAGGATTTCTTGGTATTCAGAAATTCACAAAGAAGAGTGACATTGTCTCTGTTATGAAATCAGTGTGGGGTTCTGTCCACCATGGAGTAAGTGAATCATCGCTCTCTTCTATTTATATCAATATTGATTTTTTTTTTCATTAGATGGTATGTATTGAACTTTTTTTCAACTTTGCAGTGGAATTGGCAAACGATACTAATAGCGGCATCTTTCTTGACATTCCTTCTTGTTGCTAAGTACATAGTAAGATTCATTATTTATGATTTGCTCTTTTTTTGGCTAAAATTTATGATCTGTTCTTATTATCTCATTTTAACACACACATACATACACACAAAAGCTGGTCTTATGGTCTTGTGGAACTAATTTTAAGTTATTTTTGATGAGTAGGGGAAGAAGAAAAAGAGGTTCTTTTGGGTGCCTGCAATTGCTCCACTGATCTCTGTAATTCTTTCCACATTGCTTGTTTATCTCACACGTGCGGATAAAGATGGCGTTCAAATTGTAAGTTTTGGATTTCTTTCTAAAAAAACTTTCAAGGGGTTTTATTTTCAGATTGCTATCAATATTAACTAATATTTAAATATCTAGGTGAGAAAAATAGAGCAAGGCATCAACCCATCATCTGTTTCTCAAATATATTTCAGTGGTTCGTATCTCACGAAAGGAATTAGGATCGGCATTGTAGCTGGGATGGTAGCTTTGACGGTATGTTAAATAGTAAAAGTAACTGATTTAAAATTTCAAAGAAATTGGTATTTTCTTTTCTTTTCCTTTGAACTATATATAACTCAACAAATTTCAGGAAGCCGTAGCAATTGGAAGAACATTTGCTTCCATGAAGGACTACCAGTTGGATGGAAATAGTGAAATGGTAGCACTTGGAACAATGAATATAGTTGGATCGATGACTTCTTGCTATGTAGCTACCGGTAAGAAACCATAATGAATGTGGAATCACAAACAGATCAGGATTAATTACATTTAGGCACCTTAACGTATGACCTAATAACACGGGTGACACTAGAGTATGCATATCTACACAAGCAATCATTAGATTATTGAGTGTATCTACAAGTGAGGAGGGGAAAAAAAGACTCTAGGGCATTACAGTCATTACATGACCAGTACTCTCATGGTTACCCATGTCATATATATGCAGACTCTAGGGTCACCTGTGTAATTACACCATACATCATGATACCTGTAAGTAATAAAGTTTAAAGATTTATTGCAATATGAGACTTAGGAGTACCTTATACTAAATATGTGATGTTTTGCTTTCTAGGCTCTTTCTCGCGGTCTGCAGTTAATTTCATGGCTGGATGCCAAACAGCTGTCTCGAACATGGTTATGTCAGTGGTAGTGTTATTAACATTGTTGGTGATTACTCCCCTTTTCAAGTATACACCAAATGCCATCTTAGCAGCAATCATTATCTCGGCTGTGATTGGACTCATAGACTTCGAGGCAGCTCTTCTAATATGGAAGATCGATAAATTTGACTTTGTTGCTTGCATGGGTGCTTTCTTTGGAGTAGTTTTCGTTTCAGTTGAAATTGGACTCTTAATTGCTGTAAGCCTCTTATTGTGGCCCCCTAGTACTGTTTTTCATGACTTGCCACCTGTAAATATTTTTTCTTATTATTTATTTTTCCCTTCTCATGATCAGGTTTCTATATCATTTGCTAAAATCCTGCTTCAAGTAACACGGCCAAGGACAGCTTTACTTGGTAATCTTCCAAGGACTACAATATATAGGAATATTGAGCAATATCCAGAGGCGAAAAAAGTTCCAGGGGTCTTGATTGTGAGAGTTGATTCGGCTATCTACTTTTCAAATTCTAACTACATCAGGGAGAGGTATAAGCTCTCTTGAAAACACTTTCCCCCCTCTAAGGCCCTCTTTATTTCAGTTGTAGACTCATATTTTGCTGTTTGAAAGTGTATTTTTTTATTTCAGAACCTAGAAACAAATATTTTTTAATGCATCAACATAATAAGCAGATTATCATACGGAATAACTAAGTCAAACCACCATATTTTGCTAAATTGCATTAAGTACACCTATGCATTATAACTAGTTTATTTTTGGGTGCTATACGTCGACTACCTTATCTTCATACCAAATTTACTGTTTTCCTAACCAAATATACACTATGTATTACTGCTTTATCTTTTTATGGAATCTACTATATCTGTATTTTCGGGGGGAGATTTACTGTATATGTATAACCACAGATTTAAAAGTCACAGAGGACTGTGTTATAATATTCAGTAGATCTATTTCCTTCAATTTTGTAAAGCTTCTAATTTTCTTGGTTTCCTACCAAAAATTCCCAACTTCACTTATCTCGTGCTTTATCTTAGGATCCTGAGATGGTTGAGAGATGAGGAAGAGAAAGTGAGCATGAAAGACATGCCACGAATCAATTTCTTGATCGTTGAGTTGTCGCGTAAGCATCCACTATTCCCTTCTTCTTCATGTGACTTCTTTCTTCTCAGTTACTTATCTCAATTCTTTCTCTGCGCAGCGGTTATTGACATTGACACTAGCGGTATCCATGCCTTGGAGGACTTGTTCAAAACCCTCAAAAAGAGAGAGATTGAGGTGAGAGATGAGATAATTTTTTGTCAAATAACACAATAATATCAAATACTTGAGACATTCTGAAATTGCATCTTACAATTTGAAGTATTGTTTGCAGCTTGTTCTTGCGAATCCTGGACCTGTTGTAATCGAGAAACTCCAGGCTTCACATTTTATGGAGATTATAGGCCATGACAATATATTTCTAACGGTGGGTGAGGCAGTGATGACTTGTGCATCTAAGGCTAAAGAAGAGGTATGAAGAAGCTGAAAGCAAGCATTTGATGCTTACTTGTCCTGAAGAGCCTGCTGCATTTGAATGTTTGAAGAAAAGAGGAAGAGTGACGGTTGTGTTGTACAAATGTAGCAGATTCATGGGGTTTTTTTATATATCATAAGAACAGGAGAGGGGGATGGTGGTGTAGTGGATATGTCAATACTTGGAGTGGGGTAGCAATCCAAAGTGCTACTCGCACTTAGAGAAAAAAGCGTATGAGATCATTGGAGAATAAGTGGCTTGAGAGGATATGTATGAAATGAATCTGAGGAGGTAAAGGAAATATGCGTGTATTTGTATGTAAAAGAAAGAGAAGAACCAAAATAAAATAAAATATATATGATCTAAACCTTCCTCTTATGCATTATTTGGTGAGTAATTAAGGACTATTTATTTTATTAATTTAGACAATTGTAACTCATTTCAATCTAATATTTACCAAACCTCTCGTAACAAATGGTACGTAATCATCTATTAAATAACAGATAATTATATGACTGGCAAAGCCACTCCAATTGCATGTATATAATAAATTAGGTTTAATCAAAAGAAATCAATGAAGTAAGGACTAAAGATTCATTTGAAGAACACAATAGTAAACAATATTTGCTTTGTTATTATCCTGAAGCTACACTTTTTCATGGGAGAGCAAAGGAAAAAAAAAAAAGACGCAGAAAAGTAGGTTCACACATCACACTTCAACTTCTCCTTGGGTAGATTATAGCTTCTTTTTCCTTTTTGCTTTCTCCTTCTCCTTCTTCTCCCTTTCCTTCCTTTTCAACTCTTCCTTCTTCTTCTTCTCGTCATCTTGTTTCTTTCTTTCCCTTTCCCTCCCTTCTCTCTTCCTCCTCTCCTCTTTCTCCTCCCTTTCTTTATCCTCCCTTTTCTTCTTCTCCTTCTCCTTCTGTTTCCTCTCCTCTTCCTTCTTCGCCTCCTTTCGCTCTTTCTCCTTCCTTCTCCTCCTCCTCTCCTCTTCTTTAGGTATCGCCTTTGCAGGCTTGTTCTTGCCTACGGTGAAACACATCTCCAGTACTTTATGGTCTCTTACGTAGGAGAAAGTTCATATAGGAGTTGAGACCATATATTACAACAAAAACTCATGAGTTT